CTGGCCAACTAACATGTAGATGGCTTTTTTTTTCTAGCTGAAACCAAACCATGGTCTCTCTGGTGATTCATAAAACGCAGGTCAAGGGGTACCCTTAGAGACAAAAAAACGATAAAAAAATGAATCCCCGCGGCTCCACAGTATATTAAAGCCTTATGAAGTGAAACTATCGGTCTCTGTAAGAAATTGAACATTATTTACAACATTATTAACTTACCTGTAATTCATAGCCAAGTCAAATGAATAGTACGAGCTTACGCACGTATGATGACGCGGACGTAAACTGACGCCGTTGTTGTTTACAACAGAGACGGAGGACGCGTTTGCGTAAGGTGGCTTGGCTTTAGCAATATTAATATTTAAATTGTATTGTTCATCAAAATGGTGCTTACTTTTGCTTATCCTGGATGACTGGTGAGGAGGTCGTTGTAAACATACGTGTAAACGTGGATGGGCCGAGGCTGATTGTTTGGTGAACTTTAACAAATATAACAAAAAATTCTGACAACTATAGATAGATATATAGATAGATGGATAGATGGATGGATGGATGGATGGATAGAAAATTAAGCTCACATTTTTATATGAGATATACAGTATATGTAGCTACAGTAGGCTATGTATATGTAGCCTAAATAACGTTTCACCCCCAAAAAATTTAATTATGCAATTTATTCACCCTCACGTTGTAACCTGTGTGTTTCTTTGTTCTGTTGAATACAAAAGAAGATATTTTGGGCAGAATGTGGGCAAACAAACAGTTACTAGTCCCCATTGACTTCCACAGTATTTTTTTCCATATAGCCTAATGGAAATCAGTGGAGACTAGGGATGTGCATCTCATGACTCAGGCCGGTACGATACGCATCTCGATGCATAGTCAATGATACGATACAATAAAGATACATATGAAGCAGCTACCGATGCGATACGATTCACCGCCTATTCGGACACGACTGTCGGAATTCGCCCCCTAGTGGCAGTCGCACGGAAATTTCATTATGATCGTACACGGCAACATGGGAGAGAAGCTTATCCTCGCGGTCTCAGAAAACCCCATTCTGTATGATACTTCTCTAGAATCATACAGAGACTTTAATAGGAAAAATGAGGCTTGGAAGAGAGTTAGCGAGATTGTCGGTTTGTCAGGTGTGTTTTGTTTGCCAAATTTGCTGAATGTATGCATCCTTGTCGTGCCTTAATTAGCATATAGCCTAGTATTCCCATGTATTTCCATGAAGTTATTATTCTGCATTTTACAAATTGATTGAGAAAAAAATGTATGCAATTGTATATTATTTATTTGAAAGACTGCCAATAATTTTGGAGGGAAAATAAAGACAACGTTAAAAATAATAAAATATAAAATTAAATGAATAATTTATTATTCACCAATAATCATGCATTTTTTTAAAGTTTTAAAACAAAATAAAATGTGATAAACAAAAAGAATTATAATTCTCAACTTGCGCACACTGATTTGATTGGACAACTTTGGAATACATCACATCCGGTCGGCGTGTCGCATACGGTGTAGTCGCTCAAGTTCAAATATTTGAACGCATCCGAAGCTCAAATCGGATCCGAAAATTCCGCATTCGCAGATGGTCAGCACCCCACGCAGCCCCTATACGACTCTCCATTGGAAATGAATGACTTCCGGTCCAACAGCTGTCCAATCAAATCAGTGTGCGCAAGTTGAGAATTATAATTCTTTTTGTTTATCACATTTTATTTTGTTTTAAAACTTAAAAAAATGCAAATGGAGCATTGACACTCCTAATTGAGATTGTAGATAGAGTGTCAATGGAGAGATAGGTGGCGGTAATGCACTTATAAGTCTGCGATCCGCCGTAAAGCAAGAAGAAGAAGACGCGTCACGCGCCGGCTGTCGAGGACGCGCTCAGGACAGTTCAGACATTGCGGTGCATAAGAGGTAAAAAATTATATAAATACTGTTCAGTTTCTTGCACAGACCGATCGTTTCGTGTCTTTGCACATCAATGTATCGTCACGAGCCGCAGGGTTTAATTTGGTTTTGTTTGTGTATGTTTTTTTACTCTCAAAGCCGTGATTCCTATTCACCTCCATTATAAGACTGACAGACTGCAACGGTTTGAGTTAAAAATCTTCGTTTGTGTTCTACTGAAGAAACAAAGTCACCTACATCTTGGATGCCCTGGGGGTAAACATCAGATAAACATCACATTTTCATTTTTGGGTGAACTATCCCTTTAAGGTCCGCTTAAGAATCAAGTCAGGTTTTGGACTTTAATCCCAGTTTTTTCCTCGGGTCTCCGTGGTGTTGTATTCACGCAGCAGCAGCGGTGATGAGAGAGCGCGCTTGAGAAACAGTTTAGAGAGCAGAAATCAATCTACTTATAAAATATTGGTCACTTTCTAAATAATACAAGTATAGCGCATCCACTAGTAATTATATTTAAATAAATCGGTTTTTACCGATGCAAATATGTTAGAAACGATGCATCACGATATAAATGCCAGACAGAATTTTCATTTTTGGGTGAACTATCCCTTTAAGTGTTTAAATACAAATGGGATCACTATACATCACAATATCATTATATTACCACCTCATATCTTTAATGATATAGGCGAAGGGCAAAATACTTAACAGGGATGGAAATATTGTGCTTGTGATCAATGTGTTTTGACACTGGACAAGCTGTACAGGCTTTTGTTCACAACTGCATTTTATTGTAACAATCAAAGACATGAAGAATGATGAATTGTGTGCACATCTTCCACGTGAAATGTTCAGCTTGTCATAACAACACTCACAGACATTAATCAAGAACTGTATCACTTGGTGAATAGGCAGGCAAGTCGATTTATAAAAACAAAGCAGAACTGCAATGTAAGAAAAGCATTGTGACCTAACGTTTAATTTAGAATAACACTGATCAACCTTACACATGCCGGACGATCTGTTTGACAGACAGAGTCACTGCAACCTTCAAAATGTCCTCACGGTAAAGGTCGGTTCTGTTGTGGGACGGAACGAGAGGGGGTGAGTAGCTGCCCCGTGGAGCGGCTGTGACGTCACAGGGAACGGTCGAACCCGTGCCGAGATCCACCGCACGAATAAAACCCCTGGTGTGAAGAGGTTACTGGGGTGACGCTCCAGCACGGCACGGCTGTCGTAACTAATCAGCATCCACTCCCGAGTGAGCGGGACCGTTGCTGTAGTAACCGCCTTCCTCCTAAACCGAAATGAAAGGGAGAAAAGAGCTGCTCCCTCTAGATCTGCTATTCGCCCAGAGAGTTTTTCTTTATTTTCTCAACTGTACTGTATTGTCTCTGGTGAGACCCCCTTCGTGCAACTGTGGGACAAAGTAGGAATGGACAGTTTGACATTTACAATGAAAAATGAATGAATTCAAATCACACTAAAATCCCACAGGACTGCGCACCACATCCAAAAACACCACTGTTAGTCTCTTTTTTTTTGCTCTAAACATCTCCAAAACTGCAGTTAAATAATACTGAGAGAAAATAACAAAGTGCAAAAACGTAAGGAAGACAAACGTGAGGGATTTCAGGGAACGTTGAAACACCAACCTGAAACCGAAATCATAACATAGATAGAATAAAAATAAAAAGAATCAAACTATTCAGTTCATTATAAAACAACATTCTAAAAACTTGTAATAAATCAGGCGTTTGTGGAAGAGTTGACACTTTTTCAAAATATAAAATACAAACGTGGTTTGAATCCATAACAATAAATATCTCATCGACTCTTCCTACAAGGAAAAACCACAATTCAAAATGGCGACAGCACGTTTAATACTTAACGACACAGGCGGGAGTTTTGTGCTGTTCATTTCCAGAATGCAAACAAATAAAAACATTAAAGTATGGAGGCAAATGACGGATAGTACTACCTAGCTAACAAAATGTTATCAGATCATTCTGGCAAGGTTTTCTCAAAGTTATGAACAAACATTCTTCCAGTTACGTTATTAGAACGTTCGTTCAGAGTTATCTGGTCTCTAACAACGTTCTTAATCGTTAACTCAAAAATGTTATTTATACATCCTTCATGGAACGTTTTTCTGAAACATTTTAGTTCCACATTTGTCTAACATTTTTTTAACCATTCGTTTAAGAATGTTTAGAAAACATTTAAAAGTAACATTCCCATAATGTTTGCAAAATGATAAAATGGAACATTCCTTGTTTTCTCTTACGTTCACATAACCAAAATAAAACCTTTTTTTTTAACTGGATGTTTTGAATGTTCAGAGAAAAATAACTTTAGCAAAATGTTCTTAGAATATATTTTTGTTAGCTGGGTAGTTCCTGTTCTTTGAACGTAGATTACTTGGTTAGCTTGATAAGATTCAGGAACACTTGGCCAAAAACAAGCATGCGTTACATGTTTACGTCACATTTATCAAGGCGGAAATAAATAGTTATTTTGCATTTTAATGTACCTGCATGTAAAAAAAAATCTAATTTAGACATTCTGACCAAAGAAAAAGTTATTATTTCCAGTTCATTCGTCGCACGAGTAATGGAATGTTGCATTGCATTATGGGATACAGTACACAGTGCAATATGCTCTGTTTCATACTGCACAGTACAGTAGGTCGTTGCATACAGAAAACTCACACTATGCACATTATTCATACTGAAGAATTAGTAGAATGCTAGTATGCTGTTTAGTCAAACTTTCCAGTAAGTATCCCAGTTCTATGCCAAGTAATCCTGAAACTTATTCATCTAAGAAAGACACTCAAAAAACAGGACACTACACTCTAAAAAATGCTGGGTTAAATACAACCCAGTGCTGGGTAAATTAGGGACAAACCCAGCAACTGGGTTGTTTTGACCCAGCGGTTGGGTTAAATGTTTAATCCAACCTTCTGGGTAGTAACCCAACCGCTAGGTCAAAACAACCCGATTGCTGGGTTTGTCCCTATTTTACCCAGCACTGGGTTGTATTTAACCCAGCATTTTTTAGAGTGTAGAGTTAAAAGGATGGGTGTTAGGGGTGGATGGATGGACAGAAGTGTAGGAGGAAGTAGAGGTGTGCTTGTTGGGATGCAGTCCAGACGGCTGGACCGATCCTGGGTGAAAAGCCCAAGTTTCTTTAACCCCCATCCCACCCCATCCTTTTTTCTCTGTAATGAGTAATTGATTTTATCCCAGGCTGGTAATGTTGGCCCTGCCACCTGGGGGCGCCACAATGCGCTGAGTTGTACGACGAGGGATGTTATCGTCAATTTGAGCCCCTGTGATACGATGAAAGAGTGCATGAGTTAGATGGCAAGAACAGAGCAAACAATTGGGCTATATAGTTTTATAGTATAAAAGTATTTTCTGTTTTAAATGTACATGAATACAAAGTATGCAACAGTAAAAAATTGATATAAACAATTACGCAGGTGAGATTTGCTATATACTATGTATCGCCACATGTTAGTAGTCATGCAGAAAAAGATGGACAAACTTATATATGATTCGAAATATATATTTATAATTATATATAATTTATAATGAAATAATATTAATATAATATAATTAATAATTATATATTATTACGTATATATGACTTATTAATGTTCCCTCCTGGTTGGAATGACCTGCCCAACTCAATCCGAGCAGCTGAGTCCTTAGCCATCTTCAAGAATCGGCTAAAACACATCTCTTCCATCTTTACTTGACCCTCTAACTCTAGCATTCTCTATTCTAATTCTATTCTAAAAAAAAAAAACTTGCACTCTATTCATTTACAAACTGCTTGTTTTCTAACAAAAAACTAACACTAGTTTCTCTATTCTTTTTGCATTCTATCTATTTGTTTTCTTTTATTTGTTATACAATTAACAAAAAGCACAAAAAAAGGCCTCGTAACACTAGCTTATTTTATTAACTTTTTTCTATTCTATCTGTTTTCTTTTTATTTATTATATAATTAAAAAAAAACTTGTATATGTGTATTGCGTTAGGCTAACTGAGACTTGTCATAGTTGCTCTTGTGTTGATTTTGATTGCTTCCATTGTCCTCATTTGTAAGTTGCTTTGGATAAAAACGTCTGCTAAATGTCTAAATGTAAATGTAATGTAAATATATCCAACTTCACATTAAGAGCTGGTCGATAATATAGTTACATTTTGTGGCGATATAAACAATCATGTAGCCAAGATTTGCTATATAGGTATATACCGCTTTACGTGAGTATGCTAATTAAGTTAATACAAATAAAATACTTTTTTCAATTTTTAATCACAGTTTTAATCTAATTTTGTGTAAAAATCTTTGGCAATATGATCAATCAATGAGCCAAAACGCTAACAATCACAGTAAGCTTTGTGTTTTGTTAGAAATTTTTAATTATAATTGAATTTATTTTAAGACAGAGCCACAATTTTTTCAGTAAACTTTTTTTTAGTAAAAATATATATTACTGTTTATATATTGCATACTTCCAAAATAATATTATGGTAGTATGCCATTCTAAAAAGTATTATGGTAGCAAATTTGTTTGCAAATTTAGTTGTATACTCACCAGACAGGCTGAATCCAGACTGATGCAGGTTGCGAACCGGTTGAGGAGTGTGTTTGACCGGAGAAGTCTTACCGGAGGTGACAGGGGTCATGACCTTAGGTGTCACAGTGACCTCACACACCGGGCCATCATATAGACCTCGTGGGACTCCACAAAGCTCAGCAAGCTGTGATGAGAGATACCTCAATTAGACAGATCTTTTTTATTATCTTTTCTATTATCAATTTATGACTCTTAATTAAAATAAGAGTCAATATGCATCTGTGTATAACACAAATATACCCTGCTGCGGGCCTTTATCCTCTTGTAGACGTAGTCTGGGAAGGGTTTACGGGTGATGTAGCGTCCAGAACCCTCAGTGGTGTGGAGGTTCCCGTCCTCCAGGACGATCTTGCCCTGGCTGATCACCACCAGAGGAGCTCCACGCACCTCAATCCCCTCAAAGATGTTGTACTCCACCGCCTGAGAATGACAGAATGAGCGAAAAGCTCTCATCTTTAGCTCAGCTTTTGAAGCTCTAGTCTATACTATCAAAACAATCTGTAGCACATCCTAAAATAGTAAATAAACCTAAAATATTATAGAAAAAACAGATTCACTAATGATCAAAATCTGATCTTGTAATGTTCTGAAAGAAGTCTCTCATGCTCACCGGGGCTGCATTTATTTGATTAAAAATAAACAGTAATATTGTGAAATATTATTATAATTAAAAAAAGAAATTAATATATTTGAAAATGTTATTTATTTCTGTGATGCAAAGCGGAATTTTCAGCATCATTACTCCAGTCGTCAGTGTCATATGATCCTTCAGAAATCATTCTAATATGCTGATTTGCTGCTCAAGAAACATTTCAGAAACAGTTGTGCTGCTTCATATTTTTATGGAAACTGATAGTTTTTATTGTGGAAAAACATATTTTGTAAGGTTATGTCTTTTTATGTATCCTTGCTGAATAAAAGTATTAATTTCTCTCAAAATAAATAAATGAATAAATCTCGAACCTTTGAATGATAATGTACATTAACATATCCCAGAGTTCACCAGAGCTCAAATAATTAACTCTTTCTATATCTGACCGCATCAGCGTCTCATTCCGGTCGAATTAAATCAGCACAGATCGCAGCATCAGCCTCATTGACAAACAGGAGCAGACAAAGCGAGCGAGTCAGCAGAATACCAAAACAGCTCAGAGCAGAGGATCAGGACTCAGAGCTGGTCCAGACCTAATGGTGTCACCCACATTACGGTTCATTTAAAGTGCACTCAGATACACAAACAGCCCTTGATGCACTAATCTAACATTCAGACCCCAGAGCTTCCTTGTCAGCTGACAAACATTACTTGAAAAGTGATTTAGTTGTAAACAAACTCTTCTCACCAGGTGGTGGTTCTTAACAGAGATGATTTTGGTGGTGTCGGGGTCCCAGAGCACCAGGTCGGCATCAGAGCCCACAGCGATGCGACCCTTCCGTGGGTACAGGTTAAAGATCTTGGCAGCATTGGTGCTCGTCACAGCCACAAACTGGTTTTCATCCATCTTACCCGTCACCTGTGAAGCAGAACATTCATCTTAAGGACAGGGTCAGAAACTTTTGTGGGAATGATACAGTAATGAGAGTTACATTGATTTTTACCACAGTATAGGTAGAGTGTGTTGTGCACACCATGAAACAGATTTGTATTACTGACAGGTGTCTTGTAATTCTTGCCACTTTATTTTTTCATGTTTGTTTGTTTTTTATTTGTAAAGTAAGTATTTTATTAGAAAATGTTTCAATAAAATGTTGAAAGATTAATGGCATAAGTATGGTTATTTATTGGAAGGTTAACTAAGGTTATTGGTAAGAATTAATGGACTAATCAGAAAATATAATACAAAACATAATAGAAAAAAAAAATCAATAGATGAATTGATTTATGTAAAAAATATAAGCAATATCAATAATATAAGTAATATATATATATGTTAATAATATATATTAATGTTAGTAATAAGTAATAAATTATAATAATTAAAACAATGCAACATGGCGTATCCAATCAGATTTTAGAGTTATTTGTAATATATATATATATATATATATATATATAATCAAAATAATGTGACATGGAGCATCTTATCAGACAGTACAGATGCAACTATTGATTAATAAATACTCACTTTGGCTACAATAATCTAATAAAGATAAACCCTATAAAAGTAAAAATAAATAATTAAAATGTTAAATATAAAAGTATTTAACAATAATAATCAAAACAATGCATCGTGGCTCATCTAATCAGATTTTACATACGAAACTATTGAATAAAAAATACCCATTTTGGGTACAATATAATAATAATAAAGATAAATATAAAAAAGTAAAAAAAAAAAAAAAAAAAAAAAAAACAAAAGCATAAACAAA